TCAACCTTCTTTTTTTTAACGAAGAAGAGGAAAGTCGTCGGAAGTTCCGGCAACTTTGCTACAGCTCAACGAGTGGAGTCAATTTTTCATCGTTTTCAGTTGCTCTTTCGACGAGTAACAAAAAGAATGGCCGCAGAGAATCGGGACTTATTTTCGATCCGCGAAATGTTAAAACTTTTATTAACGGTCCATTTATTTTCCTAAAATTTTTTACAAATTAATCTATATCTCTACGCTACTTATTATACAAAACTGGCATGTTATTGTTATGTTATCTTTCGCTCAACATCTATAGAAGCTAAGCAAAAGATTATAATTATAAAAATAATATTACGATCGAGATAATACAGCTTAAAAATGAATAATCTGTTTTGGAGACATTCATTTTATTGTTTATTCAAGTCATTCAATATGTGGAAAATATGACGTTAATATGGTCGACGAGGAAAATATTTTTAAAAAGTTAAAATTATAAAAGTAATGAGATTTTACCAAATGTTTATGAATGATATATAAATGTAGTATGTATTTCAAGAAATGGTATATAGATATTTATATTTATATTCAAATGATCAATGCATAACCTCGTAATCATAACGTAATTACAAAGTAACGTAAATCACCATAATTTGTAGTATAAATCGTATTTAACTCACCACTTTGATGTTCAGCTCAGTGTTTATTTAATTTTTAATTGCAAATATGTGGTTACGTATATAAACACGAATGAGCACGTACAGTTCTATAAAAAAAAAGGTTGAAAATTTATACGATAAAATATAAACTGCATATTGAATAATATTGAACAATTACGTACCAGTATATCGGATGAAATAATATATTAACATATTGTAAAAGATTAACAAACTCATTTATATACAAATATATACTTATAACAAACACTATTTGAAACTCGATTAACAAGCTTAGCACGCTCAAATGTGGAAACAATCACTGTTTCGTTCAAATTATTTGAATTCTAATATAACAACTTTCTAAGTCAATCAGATTCTACGCCAATCAGAGAGCTGAGTTTATTTGTAAGCCAATCACAGGAGAGTTTAGGTTAACGCGAAATATTGATACATTTTAATAATTGATAAATATTTGAATTGATAAATATTTGAAACTAAATTAGCTTGACATGTACGAGTATGTGAACAATAAATTTAGTTCATTTAAATTACTTAAATTTTGATCATTTATATGATCATTTGCATGATAATTTCCTCGACCAATAAGATTCTATAACTCCAATTGGAGAATGGTTTATTTGCACACCAATCAGAGAAGAGCTTAGCTTGAAGTAAAACATTTACTAACACAAATGTAAGTGACACTAACTGATCTTGAAAGTGTTGAAAGTAGTTTAAATTTTGGAAGTTTAAAATATTTTTGTATCGTTATAAGTAATTTTTAGTATTAAAAACTATTTTAAATAGTGCAATACAGTTCACAGACAAAGCATTGTTTCAACAACAATGAGAATCTTCAGTATCTCCTCAGACGTACACTTATCTTGAAATTACATCGACGATAGTGGGTTTGCATCGATCCAACGCACATATTGGCTTATTTGCAGTAAACGTTGCCTATCGTATTAATTTGTTGACAGAAACACAACTAAGAGTTTGCTATTCGTGTATAATTCACTATGGTAATATGGATACCAGTTATTTGCACAGTATTTGATTCGTGATGCCCCTCCATATTACTTAATTTATCAATTATTCTGTCTGTAGTGTAAATTACACATGGTGCACGAAATAATATTGACTCTATGTTATTTAATCGATTTCAAACTTCCGTACGTAATAAAATATAACAGCAAAATAATGATACTATTTGTGTATATGTAGCAAATTTCTCGACATATGATTCGAGTTCAACAGAACTCGTCATTTCAATATATCATATCGCAATATATCAACAGTTTTTGTTCCTCGCGATATCTAATTTTTTTTGTCAGATTTTATTATTGGGATAATGTTTATGTGTGAGATGGGCTCGTTAAGTGGAAAAGAAAAAGAGATAACCAGATGGATGAATGTGAACGAGTAGGACAATAATCAAGAAAAATACATAGACGTAGGAAGCAGTGAAAAGAAATGATGAACTGCTATGTATATAAAATCCCTAGTGGAAAGTATATATTGGCACCGGTAGAAAAAGTAACTATATTAAGGCGATATCAGTTTCTATTTTTTTGTTGTCATTTTTCTTTCAGTTGATTGGATTTACGAGAATGATTGCTCAAACTCTATGAATATATTGCAGTATTGGATAAAATACTTCGTATAAAAGTTGACATCTTCGTATCTTCATTCTGAAATATCGACTTCGAAAAAGTTAGTGTTTCTTACATCTTCTATAATTTATTGTGACGCAGACAAGGTGTACGGTAAGAAGTATCATTCAGAAATTGTCAGGTAAAAGTTATAACCAGTAACTTTATATTATTAAATACGTGTACGATTTAAAATATTTATTTATTTAAAAAAGTTACTGAATAAATATATTCAACTCCAATAAATTAAATTGCATAGACATTACAATTCCAGATTACTATTAAAAAATGTAATTTATTTGCAAATTTGATAAGTTTGAATTTTATTCTTTAATATAATATTATCAATAAAATTTTATTGATATTAATCTCTCATTCCTTTTCAATAATTAGCCTATTTATTCTTAAATAATTACCCAATTATCTTTATGAATAATCTTCGTTATTCATTAATTATCTTTACGAATACTTTTTAAAACTTGACTTTCTTAGATTTTTTCTATACTTCGCTGTTTCCATGGGATTTGACAATATTTATTTGACCACAGATTTCACGATGACTTTTCTTGGATTACAATTATATCGACGACGTTGACAACAATTTAAAGGCAACAATAACAATTTAAAGTATTTTTCATATAGTGTATGAATATTTTCATTTTTATTTAAAAATTTTTCATGAATTTTGTGTATTTGATTTAAACCAGATTGTTATTTTTTATTCCCAGTTAACATTAGGTTTAAATTAGTTAGCGATTACAGTACCAACGGTGAAATAAGCAATACACTTCCTACGATTCTCAAACGTAATCGATATTTCTCATGATCGATTTTTAAATGGGTAAAATGGCGGAAAGAAGCACACCTCATCTGTAAAGTATAATCCAGAAATATCGTGTAAAAGGAAATATCATCCAGAATTCCTCAAGTAAAAATGTATGTAAGTCAATAGTTGTTAGATTTGTGTTTGTGTTTAGAATTTTTAAGATAAAATGTGCATTTTTGGCTCCAACGCAAGGTAAGATTTAATTAAATAATTATTACATATAATTTTCAACAATTAAAGAAATAAGAGCATATAAACATTTAAACAGAACATACTATGTTGAAAGTTATTTATAATTTTATACCAAAATTTTAAATCTAACCAGTAAAACTATTGTAACCTTGTAATTCATTGTTATATATATACACGTATTTTATTATATGCTTTTACACACATACTTCTATTATAACATTTTCTACTTATTTGTTAAACCTTTAACTTGATACTGCGTAATTTTTAATAATTCTAATACTAAATCAGCAATAATTTATTAAGAATGTACGTATGTAATTGTTAAAATAACAATTTTACTGCATAATATAATAAAATTTTCCATTTCTCAAATAAGTAAGGCGTAGAAGACTCGAAAGTAAACACTTTCGACTAAACGTGTCGAGACATAGTAAGAAATCAACACTTTATATTCATCATTACTGCGCCTATTTGTTGAAGATCACCTCAACCCCTACTATTTTCTCAACTGTGCTGCGAGACGTGTCGCGCAAAGTCATTCGGTTATCGACTTTCGTGACAACAACACGTATTACTTCGCATTAGATTCCTAACTTTTTCTAACCTATTGGTAGCGTCTCTTCGATGGCTTCTTCGATACTTTTTTACTTCCATTTATACCTCATTAATAGTATCATTTAATTAATACGCGTGTGTTTAACGATTCATTGAGCATTACGATAACGAAATCGAATAGTGATTTGAAACTTTTCGCGTCAATTTTTACACATTTGTCTTCATTTGTTCTGAATTTTGGCTTTTCTTTGTGCAGGTTATTCCTTGATCGTAGAGATGGCATAGAATGCCATGATCATTAATGAACAATTTGATGAACTTTCACGGAAATTTGGCAACATTTTATTCATTTTGACATACATTTGGTATACAATTATATTGGTATACATATATATTTGAGAAACAATTCACAATACGTATAATTTCGTAATTATTTGGAATACAAAGATATATACCAGCTTAACGGTATATGTATACTCTCAAGTGGATGTATATTCTCGTATTAGATAATTAAATTCAACCTTTTCGTACTTTACTATGCTATATATATATTTTATTATACTGTACTTGCTTTTTTTCAAACGCTGACACGCAATTGAAATGATCAAAGTAAGATTTCACACGCGGTATTGTTTCTTAAATATATTTAGTTTTGAAATTTTTGATTTATACAAACATTTTTTGAATATTTATAACACGTATGTAATATATTACTATTTATAACACGTATGTAATATATTACTATTTATAACACGTATGTAATATATTACTATTTATAACACGTATGTAATATATTACTATTTATAACACGTATGTAATATATTACTATTTATAACACGTATGTAATATATTACTATTTATAACACGTATGTAATATATTACTACATATTTCCTATTTTAATAATAAACATCCAAAATATAATTTCAGAATGTAATAATCTTTCATTTACAGTATTCAGTATTAAAAAATATTTTATAATTTACAACTAATATCTTTAATATATATTCAAGTTTCTTTATTATGTTGTAGAAAAATAGTAGTATTTTCTAAATGAATGTATCCTCTGCTCTCCCCTAATCAACTCTCTTTTCAGAAAATTTTAATGATCGCGCGCAATGCGGTCAGTAGAGTCAGTGTTTGTTGCGCAGTATTTTAATACTTTCCTGAGCAAAATGGTTCTCATTAAATTAAGTTATTAATTTATTTAAATTGTAATTTGCGGAATTAGAGTCAGTGAGACCGTCAATTATTACTTAAACGAGTGCGTTCATAGTCTTTTATTTTTCTTTTTTTGTATTTTTTCTTGTTCAATATTCGTTTTCGGTATTAGAATCAGTGCTCAAGAGGATAAAGTCTCTCCAGAAAATTAAGATCGTAAGTAGTTTTATATATCTCAATTTATTCAATTTTTTCAAATTTAACAACAGAGTAAAATGTTTGACGTTTCTTACAGACGCTTCACAGCATCTTTGGGGGAAAATCGAACGGTGGCTTTAAAGCCAAGATTGTAAGAATTTTTCATTATCTCCAGCTTAAGATTTTTCTTTGCTGTTAAATATAAATTCTAACGTTTAATGTTTTGTTGCAGAAGTCTCCACTTCCCCTAATCCACCATGAATCTTATGATGCTTTAAAAGCTAAAAAATGTAAGTACCTTAGCATGTTGTTTAAATTCTATTTTAATTTCTCTTTCTATTGAAATCGAATGTAAAATTATAATTAATAAAATAAAAATACTTCAATTTAGTCCCAATTTTTATCATTATTAATATTTAGATTTTCACAAATAACATTATGTCTTTAGAAACAAAATGTTTTATGTTTTTTAAGAAATTTTTCACGGCGTTCTTTTCCACCATGAGATTCTCGGTGGTATCTATTTGATGAGGGTCTTCACGATACTTTTCTTGCTCCAGTGCAGCATTGGAGATAACGTTCTTCACATCTATCCTGTGAGTCGTATATATTTATGTTCCCTCCGATCACCCAGTCATGTCGTAGGATGAAAGGTCCGAATCGACACGGGTGATTGGTTGTATTACATAGAACTTTTGACGAGCATAGTGACCGCGGGTATTTATTATACCTGTGAGTAGTAACATTTCTTTGTCTATATTTATTCATACATAGTTCAGGATAGGTCTTCTTGCAGATCGCGTTTTTGGATGTTAATAATAGTGCATTAATAATTAAAATGAGTACAATACTAATATAATATTACAATATAAAGAGTTAACATATTGAAACATGTTGAAAATCTTGAAGTGTATTCATCATAATTATTTGTAAAATTTAATTATATAATATAATTATTTGCAAAGATGAATAAATGAAATATGAATATTTGAATAAATGATAAATGTTACATTAATTCTGTTTAAGTATATTGTACCAGAGAAGTTGGATATTCTCCGATTTTCGTTACAATGAATATTATTTAATAAAATAATATAAATTTAATAAAATTAAATTATTTTACTTTCATGTTCAGTACAATTTCAATAGAATTAAAGTATTAAAATTCAATTGTATCCGTTGAAGGATGTATTAAATTTCACATGCAAGAAGACATTACGCGACAGATAGATTTCAGAATTAAAGCAATGATTTTAAACTTTATTCCTCTATTTTTAAAGATGTGCTTTAATGAAGGAATCGTCTGATGATATTTCTATCGCTTATTATTAGAGTCTATTATTGTATATTGAATTTCATATCATTTCTGCTGAAATAATATCTTAATCTCTTTTTCAATAATATATTTGTTATTGTCTTCTTTTATTCAAACATGGGATTTCATTAATCCCAAATAATGATTAAATTATTGAATTAAATTGTAGAGTCATTGAAAATTCAAATAAAATGAGAAAATACAACATCAAGGAATATTATCCCGTTAAATACAAAGCAAATGTACTAATTATCTTTTTAGGATATTTTAATTATCTCAGGATTTTCAGATTTAATCTTTTCCATGTTCATTGCGAGCATGATGATTATAATTTATATAAGTTCAATAACTTCTCAGTGATTGATGATACGTTAATGTATTGTGCACGACGTATTTTCCACATTATGTTTGTGTGATTAGATTGTGGAATTGCGTCGTTTTTGCTATTATTTCAGCTAATAATTTCGATGATTTCTCAATAATAATTTCGAAATATTAATCGATTTTGTTGTTGTAAAAGCATACAATAACGATATCAAATACCACCGTACCAACTATTTTAGTAATATCGTTATCTTCAGATAATATATTCACACGATTATGAATATTTATACAACACGACCATGAATATTTAATTGAAATTGAAATTGATATATATTTAATTAAAGTCGAAATGCATATGTACTTATCATGTTTTACATAATGATCGCTAGCTTTCATCAGTCGATTTCAGGCAAATGGTACGTAAAATTAGAGTGTGAAAGTTGTATGCGAAGCTCAGGTGTTGGAGGCGTCCCGGGACGCTTTCTCTAGGTCCTTGCGTCTCGGTATATGTATGAAAACCATGGAGTGAGTGTGTTGCTTTTGCCATTTTCTAAATATAGAACGGCTGAATACGAATAGGTAGTTTACTTTCTAGTATGTGTGTGTATTAATTATAAGCAGGTAGGATAGGCGCGTTGTTCAACTTGTCTCGGGAAATCTAATTTAAAAAGTCGATAGTGAAATCGGCGCGAGTGGGGCTACTCGTCTTTAGTTTTGTCCTCTGATCTTTCAAATTTGTTATCGCGTTCGTGGTCGCGAATAGATTTCGAAACGAACGTTTGTATGTTGCTCGAGCGTGCACATACGAGCGGATAACGATCATTATGATCTATGGTTGTCCATGTGCAATTGAGTCAGCTTTTGCGATTTATTTCTTTATCAGTTACTTTTTGTTTTGCGATTAGAAAAACTTAGAAGTGCCTAGATGAGAGTTTTAGCGGGCATCACGCCCGAAGAAAAGAAGAAGCTCGGCAAACTGCCATAGAAAAGGACTACAACAAATGGCTTATCATCCTCTGGATGGGAAGTTATTCTTGTCACTACTTTGTCACTATGCTCACTTTTAGTATTTGTAGTCTAATATTTTTTTCTTTCTGACCGATGTTGGCTTACCTGCATATCGGGCACGGTTTTTTATTGTTTATGTTTCGAGATATTAATTACGGTTTGTATTCGAGTTGCGATGTAATCAAGGTCTCGCGTTGTGAATTAGAGTTGCGAATGGATGTTGATTTCAGTTTGCATTACAGCGTTACGGTATAATCACGATCGCGTTTGCTTTAGTATTGCGAATTCGAAGATATCGCGATTGCTTTTATCATTTTCTTTACTATAAATTGCTTATAAAATAATATTGGAATTTGTCGGTTTTTATTTTATTTCAGAAAAATGTTAACTTTTAACTATATTTATATTTGCTAATCGTGAATAATAATACTCTTTACTGAATTCATGTTATGAATTAGTGTTATTTCTCTGTTGCGGTTGTTTCCATTATTTTTCGAGTTAGTGTTGCGATAATAAACGATTGCGTTTTTTTAAATAGTGTTGCGTTTAAATACTGTTTCCACTAGAATCGTGGAAATATGTTCCTGATTTGTTTTGGTGAATAAGATTTTACTAATTTTTATTGTTATTTTGTAACAACGATTTTATTAATTTTTTTTTTGCTGTTTTATATTATATAATGTGTTTCAAAAATTATTGTGGCTTCAATAGAAAAAGGGAAATATATTCCCTTATATTTTCCCTTATAGTTTTTCATAAATAGATTTACATTTTTGTAGATTAGTTTTATGGCCGTGTGATAATTTCTTTCTTCTCTTCTTTTTTTTTAAATCGAACATGCATTTCGTGTAAGGTATAAATGTTAGTTTTTAACTGCAGGGCAGGACCAAAGAGAATTCGCTCTGTAGGAAGAAAGACGGAGATGATTTATGTAGGCCACGCAAGTTCAATTTGTATCACGTCAGTTTTTAGTGGCACGGACGTGTAGCTACGCGGGCAGCTGAATTATTGCTCGAACCAGGATCGCGTGATAGTTTCGAAATAACTGAAATGATGCGATCGAAAGAGAAAAATGTTCCAAACGAGTATCTCGTTCTATTTTGTGGCTTCCATTTCTGTTTTTTTTTCTTGTTTCCGGATTTTTTTACGTCTGACTTTTCGTTTTGAAACGTAGCGCTCCGATACGTATCGAGAATTCAAGTTTATATCTTTTTACTTGTATCGTTTGTCAATTCAGTATATTTTTCGCTATTCTCAATATTATCTTCTCAGTGAAAGCTAGAACAATTTGACAAATCTATTCATATTTTACATTTTCACAATTAATTTCATTCAATTTACACCGTGATTTGTCAATCTCGTGACACTTCAGGTAGATGGAAGAAGCGTACGTACGTGAAATACTAGAGACACGTTGTCTCGAATCGTAAAAATTCATTATCAGCCGGTAAGCATCGTGTATGTTCGACGATACAGCGCGGGAATTCATTTTCTCCGCGTATATACGTATATCTTTGGATTTAACCGGGAACCGTGACGCGAATACAGAGAACTCCTCAGAAATCTCCGAGCTGACTCGGTCCGGATAGGATTGGCAGTTTTGGCGTAGAGCCCGTTGTTTAAAGGAGACCAAGTGGTTGAAACAGGACCCCGTGGCACGCTGCTCGGACAATATTACTTCCCATCGAGTCGAGCACTAATTCGCGGACTCGCTCCGTCGACGAAAACGAAATATTACTGCCTGCCTCCTATGTTTCTCCCGGTATTTGAATCTCCGCGTTCCAGCCAACGTCTGAACGCGTATCAGACCGTATTAAAGACACGTGTCCCTTGCTTATCCGTGTGCGGCAACGGAAGTTTCAATTACGAAGGATGTAGAATGCTCGGGAAACTGGCTGTTGCCAACCGTTTGAACGAAGAGTGGAAATTTTTCATACTGTCTACGTTTGGATTTAGTTGTTAGTTTTCGAATTCTTCTGTTGTTTTTTTTTTTCGAAGCTTATTCAAGGTAATTAATAACATTAGTATTTGAATTGATTTCGTATAAAATTAGAATAGTGATTTCTGTTCGAACTTTTGAAATGAAAATTGAGTTCTCTTTTCTTTTTCTTTTTTTTTTTGAATTTCCGCTGGTAACCGCGTTCTCAATTTTTAAAAAAGAACATTTTATCGATCTTCTTAGAATTCACGCAGACGCTGTACGTTATTCGATACCAGGGACGTTTCAAATATTCAAACATTGGCGACAATAGTACGACCAACAACAGCACAATAATGGCGAAAGATTGGAAATTTAACTTCTGGAGTTCCCACAGGCAGAGAGTTTCGATGAAAATGAAAATTTTACACATGTTCGCCGTGTACTCTTTTTTTTCACGTTAAAGTACAAACAACGTTGAATTCGTTATTCGCGGTATTATATGCTCACCCTTCTGATCGAAGTCTCTCTCGGATGTGGCAGCGAATAAAAACTCGTCGTTATCGCGGTGGTTCGAATTTTACGCCAACCATTGATATAATCGAGTCTATTCAGCCTGTGTAACAGACCATATCGGGCCGGTACCCGCAATGAAATCATCTCGTCGAACTTACCGCGCATTGAATCTTTTGCCGCGATAAGAGCCGTGAACATTGAAGCATGAGTGGCGACCCTACATGGAATATAGAGTGTGGAGTATAATTGTGGAATCGGAAATAAAAGTTGCCCCGACGGGTGCTCTGAACTTCCCGGAGTTATCTTTCCAAGCGTACAAGTGAACATTAAATTTTCCCTGCACTTGTACTGGTAACTCGAATTCAAAAGAGATATCGTTTCCTCTTCTTTTAAATAAAACTGTGGCGAATGTATTTCAACTCTGGCGACTAGGAAAACTCTAACATAGAATATGATAAAAAAGTTTCATTAATTTTTATTTATATATAATAAAAAATCCTTATATATGTGCGGACGTATTCACTTTTTTCTATAATTTTAAATTATCGTGAAACTTTTGACGTATTATATATAGTAG